TCAGCAGGATACATCTTTCATGTGGGGCAGAGACTCTGAAAGATGTCCCTTGAATAATCTGACAGGTGACAAGATTATTCAAGGGATAAAATGATGAATACAGAAAAAAAACTGTGCATTTTTTAAAATGTTCTTTCTCTGTAAAGTTACTTCATGCCTTTATAAATTTTTGAAATGAAACAATTTGAGAAGGACACAATTAAAGCTTTTTAAAGGTAATTTATTTGGTTAAAATTCAAACTTTTTATATTTTAAAACTGAATTTTAATGTGGTCAAACTGTTGGTGATTGATCCAGCATGGGAAGATTGTGGTGTTTGTCAGCAAAGATGTGAAGTAATGCTGATTGATTTGATTGTTTCAGGTGGGTTTCATGAATGATGGAAGAATCACGGCTGCTGATATCCAGTACTACACCAATTCTGGCGCCACCGTTGATGAATCTGTGATGGTGGGTAAAAGAGATTTTACTTGTTTCATACAGCATATAAATGTTAGAGAAGATGGTAAGATATATCTGCATTTTCCAACACAAACATAGAAAATGTCATCTCTGATTGTCTTCTTCCTGCAGGTAACTGAGAAAATGCTGCTTCACTTAGACCATGCTTACAACATCCCAAACCTGCGAGGCCGTGCAGCCGCCTGCAGGACCAACCTGCCCTCCAACACCGCCTTCAGGGGTTTTGGCGTGCCTCAGAGCCTCATGGTTGTGGAGAACATGGTCAATGATGTGGCCATGGTGCTGGGACGCCCTGCAGACCAGGTCACATTCCATGTTGTCTTACCACGTCTGATGTTATTCGTCATGTGCAGCCCTTCTCAAAAACTCAGGTGGCAGACAATGGAAAACATTCCTTATTCCTGTTTTCCAATCCAGATTCGGGAGATGAACATGTACAAAGGGCCATCAGTCACCCATTACAAGCTTGAGTTCAGTCCAGAGAACTTGCAGCGCTGCTGGGAGGAATGTAAGCTCAAGTCTGACTACAGCGCCCGTTGCAAAGCCGTCGACCTGTTTAACCAGCAGAACCGCTGGAAGAAGAGGGGAATATCCATTATCCCCCTTAAATACGGCATTTCTTTCACAGACAAGTTTTTCAATCAGGTCTGTTTATTTCAGTTTTATCAGTCATATTTGCTGATATTTTAATGCATCTTTTATTAATACATTAAAATCAAGTAGTTTTAAAAGCAAAACATTGCTAGCTTTAGTCTGTAGTAAAGGTGAAAAGTCTGAAATTCTGTGACCCTGTTAGTGATGTGAATATTTTTCTGTCACTGTGTAAAAGGCTGCAGCTCTAGTCCACATCTATAGAGACGGTTCTGTTCTGGTCACTCATGGCGGGACGGAGTTGGGTCAGGGAGTCCATACCAAAATACAACAGGTGCTGTGACAAAGAATCAGGTCAAAGAACCACTGGCCTAGTATATCACAGGCTTCAAACCCTACTACCAGTAAATTGCATTTACATGTATTTAATAGTCCATGTGTGCTGAAGGCAGGTGGCCATTAAATAGCTAAGTTCGATTTCTTTTTGCCGACATCACCTTCTAGATAAAATGTTGTTCTCTCTTCTAACAGCAAATGTGTCTCAATTTTTAACTGATTCTTTTGACGTAGCTCATTTCTTTCGTTTCACTGTTAGGTGGCGAGTCGGGAGCTTCATATTCCGACCTCCAAGATCTACATCAGTGAAACCAGCACCGGCACCGTTCCCAACACCTGCCCCTCTGCTGCCTCCTTTGGCACAGATAGTAATGGCCTGGCAGTCCAGGTAAAGTCCGCTTCCTACATTTTCTGTTATTTCTTATAAAAATGATAGGATTTTCTGTATTGTCTATTAATATTGCAGATGCTGAATACAAGAGCTTGTATTTTTTTCTTTAATGGAGTGATATTGAAAAGCGACAGTGGCATCAAATCAAATAGTACTCGTATGTTTCATTTACTATTTCTCACTTTCAGAATGCTTGCCAGACTCTGTACCAGCGGCTGGAGCCAATCAGGCAGAAGAACCCCAAAGGATCATGGGAGAGTTGGGTATGATTTCAGAAGCATAGATTAATCCTGAAAATTGGAAAACCTGTACAAGTAGAGGCATGAATTTCTTTTGTTCTCAGGTCAGTGCAGCATTTTTAGAGCGAATCAGTTTGTCAGCCACCGGATTCCACAGGTAAGCGAGACAGACTTAGTCTCACTGAAATAATCAATGAATCAGGAAACAGTGACAGCAACTTCTTGTTTGGCCTCAGGGGTCCAGAGGTTTACATAGACTGGAACAAGATGGAGGGTCGTCCTTACGCTTACTTCACCTTTGCAGCGTGTTGTTCAGAGGTGGAGCTGGACAGCCTCACAGGAGACTACAGGGTCAGAGCACACGCGTTTCATATTTACACCAAACTTTGTCAGACTTTCTGAATTTAAAGTTGCAGCTCAACGGTGTTGTCGTTTTTGCTTGTTGTAGACGGTGAGGACAGACATCGTGGTCGACATCGGCAGAAGTATGAACCCCTCTGTGGACATCGGCCAGGTGGGACTAACCTGTTGCACCAAAGGATCGTGGCGTCTTATTCTAGCAGAAGAACGTGTTTTTACACTTTGCTGTCAGAAAAAGAAAACAATCTGACCTTTTTTTATATATATTACCATAGTTTTCTAATAATTTTAATAAGGCACCGATATGCACATGTAATGTCACGGAAAATGTGTAATCTCCTACTAATGATAAAGAGAGTGAAGACTTCCACTGGCTGTGGACATACAGTGTAGTTACAAATTAAAAGAGTCCAGAGTATTAGGAATATGCTTTCTAACAAATATTTACATGGTTTTAGACAGGTCTCTATGACTTTTTACACTTTTTTCAATTAAATTTCTCTGGAAGTCAACAATGATATATGCAATATTACAATGCTATATCGTTGTCAGACTTCTTTCTTTACAGCTCATATAAATGAGAAAATAAAATAAAACCTAAAAGGAATCTGATGGTTGGAATCACACATTCTAATTAGTTTTTCTTTTTCTTTTGTTTTTTCTCAGTTTAAAGATGAAAAAATTCTTTTTCATACGGTTACATTTCTTCTTTTTGTCTTTTTCTATTATTTGCTTCTTTTCATTCCCAATCCTCAGTGTATTTGTCGTTCCCCTCTCAGATTGAAGGAGCGTTCATGCAGGGTTTGGGCCTCTACACTCTGGAGGAGCTGAAGTTTTCCCCATCTGGGCTCTTGTACACTCGAGGGCCATCTCAGTATAAGATCCCTGCGGTCTGTGACGTGCCACTTCGATTCAACATCTATCTGCTGTCAGACTCGAACAACCCTCATGCCATCTACTCCTCAAAGGTCAGAGGTCATGATGTACAGGTGTACACCTTTATTTTCTTGAATATGCTTCTTTTTTGGTTTTGTTTCATTCAGCTTTTTTTATACATGGCTTACATGTAGTTACAAAACAAAGACTTTTTGACAGGCCTTGATTTTACTTGTACGTAATTAATCATCCACTGGCGAATAGCCCCAGCATTGCAGTTACAAAATGTTCTTGACATTGTTGAATGCAAGTGAAATTTGTGTGCTGCACTGTCTGGTGTTTGTTTAAAGAGACTGTGAGGAGTATGTCTTACATTTAATATGTTTATTCTTTAAGGTAGTAATACAGCTGGAGTTAGTACAAAAATTTATTGGTCACCCCTGACCATTTTTGGATTTCCCCTGTGTTTATGTTGATCAACACAAAAACTCCCAATGATCCTCTGCAGGGTATTGGAGAACCCATCGTCTGTATGGGGAGTTCGGTGTTCTTCGCCATCAAACACGCCGTGGCTGCAGCTCGCTCAGAGTCCCATCTAGTCGGCCCGTTTTCCCTGAACAGTCCTGCGACACCAGAGAGGGCCTGTCTCGCTTGTGCCTCCCCGTTCACTCAGAAGGTAATGATACTGAAATACTTCGGTAGGAATTTAGACCTTCATAAAACACTCTCCACTAAAACTACACTGATGAATTCATGGGATTTGGGGGCTTTTACGGCTTTTGATTCAGTGACAGGAGAAATCCTATGACACATTCAGCCTTCGAAAGAATTATAAATTCACTTGCTGTGTCTGACCCCTTTATATATAGAGGAAGCAACTGTACAAGATTTCATTTATTCTGCCTGAATTTATTACTTTTTTTTTTTTTTTTTAACTTTCCTCATTGTTTTCTGTGTGAGAGTAAACCAAACAAAATGACAGACCAGTAAACTACGACTCATAAAAAAGGAAGACAGTCTGAACTTGCAATGAAAAACTCATTACACCACAAGTATCCGTTGGGAGTTTAACATGCTGGGCATACATCTGTTAATTTTTGTTCATGTTGTTTTGTTTCTAGATTCCAACCAACGAACCGGGATCTTTCAAAGCGTGGGCTTTAAACATCTAAAACTGAAACTGTGTTGTGTTTTTATATAATCAATTTAAAGCTACTCTGGCTTTGAAATAATGTAACTAACAACAATTAACTACTACTACTAACACTTATTTTACTAATACTCTATAAACTACAGCAACTCGTGGGAAGGGTTTCAGAGGAATTTGTGAAGATAAAGAAATGGTGTGATAGCAACTTACTATCTTTGAATTTGGAGAAAACCAAATATATGGTATTTGGGAATCGTAGACTAGATAATGAACTTCAATTGAAAATTGGGGGAGCTAATATAGAACGAGTATATGAAATCAAATTTCTAGGTGTCATGGTTGACAATTTAAGGGGTCAGTTGAATCTAAAAGTTCATGCTATACGTACGACCAAAAAAAGATTTTGTATTTCTATAAGTGGAATAAAACTATGGAATAATTTAAGTGTGGACATGAAAAACAGTACTAGAATCGAGGAGTTTAAATATAAATATAAATGTATGTGTCAATCAAGATACATGCAAGAATAAGAGATTTAATCAAGAATGCAGGAAGGAAACACTCTGTTTTAAATTTCTGTGAATTACTTGTCTGGTGAAGAAGAGAATTACCTATGTTTAGATACTGCTTGCAGCCAATGATGCATGACATTTTTTGTATAAGATGATGTCATGGGGTAGGACTGGATAAGTCTGACTTCTTCCTACTCCATTCAAACATGTACTAGGTATAAGCAAACTGATTCTGAATCAGCATTGGTTGGATTTGTATAATTATGTGTGTTTGTTCTGCATGTTTGAAAGAATAAACCAAATCAAATCAAAATCAAATCAACTATCTTCAGTTCATATTACACATTGTCATTCTCAGTTGTGTATAATGTGAAACAAATATTAATTAGGACTTGATTTTACAAAACATTTGAATGTTTTTGCTTATGTATTTGTCTTGCAGTATCAGTTTTGGCAGTTGACTCAATAAGTGAACAGATGTTGAATTAAATAAGTTTTTTATTGGTTATTGATTAAATAGTACAAATGTGAAGAAATTACAGACTCTGGTGATTGTATCTTCTGTACAAGGACCTGAAATCTTACAGTGGCTAATACAGCCTTTCTTAATAGTCCATAATTATTTGTAACCTATTGCACATTTTAGTGTTGCACGATATACCGGTACTAGTATGGTACCGCGGTACTGCGGCATTTAAAATGGTACTATACTGCATTTGGATGGGACCGGTACTTGCAGCGCCGCCGGCAGCGCCCACCCACAGTGTCCCCCC